CTTAGGGAAATGTTATTATTCAAAGTTATGTGCACAAATTGGCGGTCCAAATTTTATTCCGCAGATAACTTTGGATTGTAAATCTCAGTAAATTCTTATGTATTATTATTTTTTAATAGATTACACAGTAGCTTATAGTTGCCTGGCAAAACTGAGTAGGGATGGATCGGTCCTGATAAGACCGGTCTTAGACCGGTTCATGGAACCGGTCCTTGCGGTCCTCGGTCCATATTCTGAGGACCGGTCCGGATCGGTCTTTAAATTTTATAAATACTAAATAAATAGTTTTATTCATAAAATACTACATCTCTCTTATGGAACGTACCGGTCAATAAGTCAGTCCTTGGATCTGTCCTAATATATTACTGTAACGATAATGTCCGAAATGAAAATATCGGAAATGGAAAAATAACGAGATTAAGGCGCAAGAATCGTTTCTTATGCAATTATTTTATTATACTTTTTTATTTATTAATTTATTCAATTATTTTATTAAATTGATTATTTTATATGTATATTATTTCTAGTATGTTCTAAACTGATCCTTGAACCAGTCTTAGTAATCGGTCTGGTTCGAGAAGAAAACAAACCTTGGACCGGACCGGGACCGTATGATACAAGGATGAAAGACCGGTTTTTTTTGGACCGGACCGATCCAACCCTAGGCAAAACTCATTTTAGCAAATGGAATAAAGTCGAGACCCTATATTTCGACGGGTATCTTAATAAAAATATATAGTTTTGACTTTTGACGAGATTTTTTTATGATTACGAGATTCGACGGTTTTGCCAATAAGTTTTTATTACAGTTTTGCCAATGACCCCGTAACCCGAGAGTTTTGCCAGGCAACTATACAGTAGCTTATTTAATCTTTGACTACCCGTTAAGATGATTCACGTTGAATGCTGTTCACTTGAACTACAGTTTATAATAAAATAGTTTTCGCTCCTTTTTGAGGTTATCTTTAAAGTTAAACACTTTAATCATGAGATTTTAATTTATATTGCACTCTATAAGATTCCCAGAAAAATGAAACAAAAGCTATTAATTTCCGCCCGACATAAAAAGAAGTGATAGAAATGAATTTTTAAAAAAGATCGTAATTGAAGTTTCAATGATTGATGTGAAGTTATATGGATGACGAAGGCAGAATCGGGAGAGAACATGAACCTTCGCAATAGAAGATGTGAACCGCTAGGTAATCAAGAACATGTCCAAAAAGTATGCATTTTTCGGTACACTTTCCGGACATTTATAGGAAATCAAGTTACGGAGATATAATAAATCATAATGATCCAGATTGATAACGTTGCTATAATCTTTCTTATATTTCTAAATGTAAATTAATTAATGAAAGATAACGATAAATGCGAAACAATTATTTAATCTAAACAATCTGTCATTTCACAAAA